TCGACCGATCGGACAGCACGGACGCGGAACATGGAAGAATAGGGTAACGAAGAACTGGTTGCAAAGAAAAGTATCTCCTTCTACTATGCAATAACCCATACTGTATGGCAATGGTGTTGTAAAGCTGTGAATACAGTAACATCACAAAGCAAAGACGTTCTGCGCATGAAGACGGCTTACATTGATTGCCCCAACAAAGGAAACAGATACAACTACTTCATTTGTAACGCCTGCTTATGATTTGGTGATAATCTGCATCAGGCTACCATCGCCTACAAGTACCGTATGACTGCAGACTTATGGCCATTGCAGCTTGTAGTCTCCCGCCTCCGTAGTGGTGCTCATTTTTGCGTTTATGGTTGGAAGTGCAGCTGAAGAGAAGATAGTTAACCAACGGTGACAATTTTTAAAATCAGGGATGTTGTTGCATCTAATGGAGGCATGCTCCATTGGAATGTCTGTAATCGTGACACGTTGGCACCTTTTTTTCGTCTAAATCATGCTGCTACTAACCATGAGTGTTTACTATATAATGATACTCATTAATCGACCTCAGACAATCTGGCCGAGACTTCGAACTTATGTTCTTTGGTCTGCGATTGCAGAGCTCCACCGATTATGCCCTTCTGACTTGGTATTAGTTAGAACGGCGCACTACAGTTTCGATGGTATTCGCCAGACACTGAAAACGATTTTACATTACTGCCATACTCAGAGGCCATATAATAGCTAGATGTCTTAATCAGTTATATACAGAAAGTGAGCGAAAGTTCAGGCAGTCTTCAGAATAGAGAGGAGAGCATCTCTCCAAATGAGTGAAACCAAGTGGGAGAGTGACACTCCTTTTGAACGGTTGAGTTATGTTATAAGTAAATAGTTGTCTTCAGCCAAAATATGTGGTTACCGTTAGTAAAATAAATACATTCTGAAAGAGGTATCTGAGGTCAGGGTGGCAGTCATATCACCATAGGCAAAACGAATAAGAGCTTGTGCTAAGGAATGAAGCGAAAATGATATTCTTTGACCATTTAGGTGACCAATAGCATATATAGT